AACCAAATTGATATGTATATAGTAAATTATTTTTACATTAAATAAATTTGATTTTTTTTCAAAAATAATATTTTCAAAAATTTTACTCAGTGTACAGAAATAGGTCTAAAATTAGCGGGCAACAATGTGCTGCCAGATTTTAATAACGTTATTACTTTACTATATTCCATTAAATCATAAAAAACACCAGATTCAAAACTAGTATTATAAATAATAGATCGTTGAATTCCGATTGTAATGCATGCAATAACTTTAACGGAAATCCTCCACAGATCTGCGGTTTTATTAATATCAATAGTTTTAAAATATTTTACAATATCTTTTCATTTATACTTTATGAAACCGAAAATTCCTTGTACACGCATTTACATTTTGTTAATTAATGATTCAGTGACGGCAGGAGAAGAATTCAGTGACTTGTCAGTGAGTAGTTAAGACAGAATATCTGTAAAATATTGTTCAAAATCTATACGACACAAAAATGAAACTACTTTCATTTTATCACATTCTTCTGTAAAAAATATCGTTGAATATTTTGAAAAAGCAAAAATGGAAAGACGTCAATATATTATTTTATTTTGTGCAAAATAAGGGACATTAAACTGATAAACTAGACGGTATGTGGTAGGTTGGAATACTACTTTTATAGAAAATATTATTACCACCCAAATCATTAATAGTGATAACGTTAATACCGGTTAATACCGGCAGCACCCTTACCATTTTTAACATGTTAAACTATAATAAAGAAAGAGTTATGAAATTTTTTAATAAGTGACAAAGGATTTTTTTTTGTAGAGGTGAGTGGTAGAGTCCTCAAAAGAAATAAAGAAGGGGGGAATATATTGAAATTGGACCAAGTTAAGTGTACCATTAATCGACGAGTTTGTATTGAGAGAGAGTTTTGTCAGAATCGTGCCAAATGTAAGTGTTTGTTCTATGCCTATATCTAGTCTGTCACCGTAAAGTGGGGGAGGACGTCATTTCTACCTAGGCGTCTGTCTGAGTAGGTACTACACTATTACCTGCCTATTATTTTCCAGTCTGAAATGTATGGACAATTATTACATATGTTCTATCTTAGTCTGGTGAGCTTACGAAGCATCTATTGCTTTATTTGTTTAAAGTTTGCTGCAGATGTTAATGGACCGGAGCAGCCACTTACAATCAGATAAACTGTATAATTACTTGTCACTTCATTTAAAAATAAAACGTAATGAAAATACAAAAAAAAGATTACGATTGAACGGTTTTCTAAATCCTATTTTTTGTTTAAAATATTACTTCTAAGATAATTTTTGACGGCTTTATATAGAAATCAATTATTAATTCTTAATAACAATAATGGGCCGTCACAATATGAAGAAGAAACATCATTAGTGATAGCAAGCAGTCTTGTGGACCACCAGAATTACGACCTTGATGCTCCGACCAGCAAGGAAACTGGTGATATACTTGAACAATTTTTCAGAAAGCCGATACGACGAGAGCTTCGAAAGAAGCGCTTTATGATAGATCGATCGATGGCATTCGCTATGTCCAAACTAATGGCCCATTCCCCCTCCTTGGACCCTACTGCCTCCGCCCATATATGATTAAGGTAGACCAGAAGATCACCAGCTAATTAACAATGATGAAAACCGTATTGGCGGTCACTAATAAGATACTAACTAATCAGATCGGAAGAGAGACGCAACATACATTTTATAATGGTGGCAGTTTATAATGAACTCCATTATTTTGTAGAATTAGGAGTCTGTCCAAGCGGTTGCCTTTTTTAGGTTGGGTTGGACGAAAGCTGTCTTCTACGAGTTCAAGACTGCCCCGACGTCTAGGAAGCGAAGTGCTTTGCGAACCGAGCACTTTGTAAGCCGTTCACGCAACCGAGCGCTGTGTATATCGTTGTTTTGGATGCAAAGCGAAAGCCTAAGAGATTGGATTTTTCCTTTGAGGCATTGACCAGTTAGTCATCTTCTCTGTGCAGATGGAAAAGATGGCTAACAGAAGGTCCCATAGACAGCCTTGGCGAGAGACCAGAACGCATGGTTTCCCGTAGGAAGGCGAACTAGTTTTTCACCAATTCAGCTGATATGCACAGACCATGCCTTGGCAATAACTCTTTTGTAGGATCTCGAGGCGGAATTATACTTCTTTTAAGAGCACTAGCTTTCACATCCCGAGACATTGATGCATCAACCTAGGCCCGGTAGCACTCCTGCTTAAAGCTTGATACTATTTTACAGGAGCGATCAAACCATGGCTGGAATCTGCGGATACGGATGAGCTTCACGGAGAACGGAATAAAAAGTTCCGTACCCTAAAATACCACATTAGCGACAGAATCAACAACAATTCTGAGATTGCCCAGCGAAAAGCAATCTCACCCCCAAGGTTAGGATGCAAAAAAGACCACATTCTATCCCATTTGACCGACCTATAGCACAAAGCATGGCGGTAGCCTGTAGAATACAACCGCGACTTTAGTGTCAATTGCACCACACTTTGATCAAGACAACGGTTCGACCAGTTTTGAAACCAGATATCCGTCCTGATAAGAGATCAGCAGCATGTCCAACAGGGATGGTGCATAAAGCTCTACATCTGAAATCCGCGTAGGCAAAGTAACCAGCTGTGTAAGATCATATTCCGAGGCGAAGTCATAAGAAGATCTCAGTATGATCGGGTACGTGAGCCAAGCAATTCAGCGTGGTGGACTCAAAAATCTCCAAGAATCATATCTCTGCGGATGGGATCTGCTGTAGCAAGGATTAAGTAGCCATTTGTACGTGGTCGATGAGTCGTTCTGCTTCAGCATTACCGCTATGGGATCTATAGAGGTACCCCTACATGTCGTCGTGTCATTTCTGTTTACGCGCAGACTAGTTTGTGTCTTCAAGACTTCCAAGGCGTCGAAAAGAGATTTCCTCTCTGATATATACGCAAAACTCTAACCCCGGGCATAAAGGAGTGTTCTAATTTGTACCTTAGGTAGGAGAGATATGAAGTATTAGCTGGAGAAGACACCTGAGTCTTAGTTAAAATGAGCAAGGCCGGGTTCTTCCTATGCAGATGGTAGTGTACAGCGTTAAGTTTAGAATGAAATCACCTGATGTTGCAATAATTTACGGATAGTGTGAAAGGGGTTGCCTTGGTCTTATTGCTCCGCTTGCCCCGAGCAGTTTTAGTCGCGGAGCAGAATTTCACCCCCACCTGCCCCAGAATACGAGGAAAAGCCTAAGCACACATGCCCAGGAAGAGCAGGATAGCTTGTTCGTAGATGCGCAGCTAGGGATTTTCCGTCACCAGAGGTGCTGTTGCCTGTTTCTAGGGGTGTAGATTTTTTATATGATTCTATTACCATGTTATGAGGGGGGGGGAATGGGGCCTCCGGCCACCTGCACTTGACCAACGAAACACAGAGGTAAACCTCTACTTCACGCTGGTCACGGTTCTGAACTACCTGTATCCATCTACTTCCAGCGTGTCTCACTAGGTCGTTACCCGTGACTTTATATCGAGATTAATTATTCCAAATCGGTTGTCAGTTCATCAAAGTATATGGACAAACTATTGTCTCTTTCTGTATTTTGTTTTTATACTGCCGATATCCACATTACAAAAATTTTGGTAACTTGTGATACGAATGTGATACTATGGATAATCATGAAGTTTTCCTGACGATGTTATACTTCACCGCGTATTCACAGTACGTGCTAGAGTATTAAATAAGAAATATAATTATTACATCAATTGTGTGTATTTGTCACAGTAAGATAGATAAAGCTGTAATATAGTTATATCCATAGGAATATAATTATATACCGTAACATAGTTATACGAAAGCGATTCTTTACTATCTCACTAGGAATATAGTTATAAAACCGTCGACGTTTAGTAATATACTTATATTACTAGATTAAGTTCAGTGTTATAAATATATTGGGGTTTGTCTCAAAAAAGTCATATTGTATCATATTGTAGTATATTAAAGCTTATTTATTCTCAAACATTTTTGAAAAAAATGAAAAAATTTCAAAAGTGTGCCACTTTTTTGAGACAGACTCGTTACTTGATTAAGCGTAGTGAAATAGAAATCTACCATATATAATTAAATAAAACAAAATTTTATTGGTTTTATCTTTATTAATAAATCAATTTTTATGTATCCTGCAGTTAGTTACAATACTTTGTGACATTAACACGTATTAAAGTAATTATAATTAAAACGATCATATTTTTTGGAATTTAAACATTAACAATACAATTAAAACCAATCAAACATTAAAAATCCTTTAAAGCCAAACAGTTTTGAGATATCTTTACTTCTTATCAACAAGTTGAGGTCTTGGTTTCTTTAAAAGTATTTTTTTAATTTTTGTTCAGACAAGAAGAGGAATCATGACATCTAGAATTACATAGCACCGAATGCTTCTTATAGGCACATCCTTTAGTAGAACACTGTATATTCGATTTTTTACAGGAACATTTTAAATAACCTTGGCCACCAAAGCGCAACAATTTTTGGCATATTTCTCTCAGTGACTTTTCATTTGGTATAGGATCTTTTAAAGTAATGTTTGAAAGCTGTATTGCATTTCTGGGTAACCAATCTTTCAGGATACCAAGAAGTTCCAATTTTATGACTTTCATTTCGCTTTTCTAAAACTTTTCCTAATACATTTTTTTGATCCAATGGTCCACGATCTATCTTTGGTATCTCTATAAGAACTGAAGATCTGACGTCAATGTCAAGAAATTTCTGTGATGAGTGGGGTTTCATTTTTTGTGCGACTTTTCTTAAGTTTTCGGCAGCTTTGTCTCTTTGGTCTTGAATGTTTTTTTCGCCGTTGCATAAAATGCATGATAGCTGCGATCCGTAACCTTCATCACATGACGTTATTCCACAAATTACGTGAACATTTCGTGCACACGAGTGCATTCGAGTAGTATGAATGTGCTCCTGTACATTATTTGCCGCAAACTACACATAAAAGTAAAATTTATTCTGCTGGCACTTCTGATGCCGATTGTTGCAAGTTAATAGACTCGACAGACAAGTCACGGTCGCAGGTTTGAATAGGCGCTGGTGCTGCTGTTGAAGATGGCGGTTGTTTCAAGTTAACAGACGCGACAGGCAAGTCACGGTCGTAGGTTTCAATAGGCTCTGGTGCTGCTGATGAAGATGACGGTTGTGACGCCCATGAACAGGATGGTTGATGCAAGTTAATATAGTCAACAGATAATTCGTCATTATGTGCAGGTGTTGCCGATGACCAAGGTTGTTGTTGATTTAATATATTCTCAAGATTTTCTTCAGTTCTTCGTTTATTAAGCAAATCAGCAGGCACTTGTGATAACAAACCAATTTGAGGATCCATCCCAAAAAGAGATTTGTATGGTGTTCTTTTTATAGTTTGATGAAAAGAGCAGTTTTTTTGGTACTCTACAAAGCGTATTCCAATCGATCAATTAGTAGAATTATTATCTTGTAGCCAAGCCTGTGACATGTTCTCCACATCTTGGTTCGCTCGCTCCACAGATTCTTGACTCGCTGGATGTCTAGGTCTTCCGTTAATTATTTTACAACTTGGCCACATTTGAACCAATTCCTTTATAATTGACGCTGTGAATTCTCGGCCGTTATCACTATGAAGTGTCTCAGGGCATCCAATATCCCAAAAAAAAAACAATAATTCCAATGCGACCTCTGCGGCGCGCTTGAAGGTTAAAGGTCAAAGAAATGAAAACTTTGTTGTGTGGTCTTGGTAATGAAGTATCCATTTATATTCTCTGTCTGGAGTTGACTTTAGGTCTATTAAATCTACTTGCCCTCGATTGTTAAATGAGTTCGAAATTATAGGTTAGACTACAATACCTTTCTTTGGAAAATCTTTCTTATTTTGGCACGTTGCACACTGTTTAACGAAACTGATAACCACCGACGTAGGTATAAAATATTGAGATTTCAAAGTATGTAACATTTTGTCACGACCACTATGTCCTGTGTTTTTATGAATTTCTGACAAAGCATTATAATATTCTTCGGAGGGCAAAATTTTTATAACATGATCAGTAGTCAATTTTCGTTTCAAAGCTAAATACTTTTCTCCTCCTAGCTGTATTACGTCATAATGGTTTGCATAAAAATTATGGTTAGGATTTCTCTTTACGTTAAGCCAAGGCGCCGCTTCATACTCTTCTATGTAATTTATTACATTACTTATTCTCTGTCGCGTCCACTCTGGTTTTTTGCATCTCGCATTGTAAAACAGACGAAGTTCCTATTCAAAACGTCGCCTTGCATTAATTTCTTCATCTTTATCCATAGCTGGCACAAGTAATTAGCAATAATAAAACGAATATATAACTAATATTAAGGAAACGTAGCGATAATTAAATGAACATGCACGAAAACTAGACGTGAACGCCGTACAACTGTTCTCGGCCGACTGACTGCGGAGTGGGGAGCACGTAAACACAACGATCCCCTCTCCCGTCGCGGGGGAGGCGGTGCGCCGCCTGCGCCGCACACCCCGAAAGCTATTTCACTAAACTTAATCTAGTAATATAAGTATATCACTAAACTTCGACGGTTTTATAACTATATTCCTAGTGAGATAGTAAAGAATTGCTTTCGTATAATTATGTTACGGTATATAATTATATCCCTAGGGATATAACTATATTACGGCTTTATCTATCATACTGCGAAATATTTATATATTCAGTATACCAGAGGGACAGGCAAATCAGTCTTATAGTTGGATATTCTTCCACACATCTCTCATTAAATACATAAGAGCCACAAATAAAAGAATATCAAAATCGTATTACTGCAAAAATATGACCTAAATCGATGATAAGTTTTGTATAAAAGAGACGACAATGGACAACTAATTTGTGGAATTGTTTACCACCGGCGATTTTGTCAGACTGATATGATTAAGGAACTTTCATGAAACTCCCTTACCTTAATCTTTTTAAATGTTTTTAAGGGGCTTGCAGCGCACTATATAACTATATCTATCTTACTGCGAAATATTTATATATTCAGTATACCAGAGGGACAGGCAAAGCAGTCTTATAGTTGGATATTCTTCCACACATCTCTCATTAAATACATAAGAGCCACAAATAAAAGAATATCAAAATCGTATTACTGCAAAAATATGACCTAAATCGATGATAAGTTTTGTATAAAAGAGACGACAATGGACAACTAATTTGTGGAATTGTTTACCACCGGCGATTTTGTCAGACTGATATGACTAAGGAACTTTCATGAAACTCCCTTACCTTAATCTTTTTAAATCTTTTTAAGGGCTTGCAGCTCACCTGCAATTTCATTGGTGTTGCGGTTGTTCATGGGCGGCGGTCGACACATACCATCAATTGAGCCACATAATCGCTTGCCCAATCTTCTATAAAAAATACACCCATAATTATAGTTTAAATTATTACCAAAACTCACGACCGCCCTTTTTAGACTTGCGTGTTTTTACCCAAGACTGAACGGAGAAGGTATTCATTTAGGATTAGAGGTTGTTTATTTGTTTGTGTGTGCAATCGAATGTTCTCATTTATATTCAAAACGTTTCAAACGATTTAGATACAATTTTCTGTAAAGTGTTTATGATTCATTGGCGCTGGTTCATTGACAGGAGTTATTATGTGAACTCGTTAGTGGAGCTGAAATCGTCTGCACAGATAAACATATCAATATTACCATTTACCTCCAAAACAGTTTAAACTAATTGGATATGATTTTTTGGAAAGCGTTTGTGACTTATCGGCATTAGTTCTGAGATAAGTTTTATGGTGTTAACTTACCTGGGGACGCTGTAATAACCATTTTCTCTCTTTAAAATAAGTTTAACGAATTTTCCCCGAAACGTCTTGACTGATTTAGATTTCAAATAGCATATTTGGGTTCCGAGAGTAATCACTTATTTAATGCTATAATAACGGATCTAAATCTAAAACAGCGTTGTGTTCTTTGTTGGCTTTCTAGATTTATGGCATGTGCAACGTGTTTGTTAATTACTCAATCTCTCTCTGATTTTATTAAGATTACTTACTACAACGCCATCTCAAAATAATACTCTATTAAGTGACAAATACGAATGCCCTTTGGCGTATGTTTTGTGTCTAAGAAATATGACCGCCTTTTCGACTGTGCCTTAGCAATTTATGCATTGTAACGGCCAAACCAAATATAAGTAGAATCATTACCTCATCTAATTTGTCAACGCCTTTGTTGCCTTGAAATTATACACTCATTTAACCATTTCACTGTCCCATGTCATATATGAACATTTCGATTGTTTAACTATTGTGTCTATTTCGCGGACAGGGAAGTTGTTAAGTTATGTCTACCTAACTATATTATCACGGTAAGCGCTGTCAATAAAGCGGTTATCAAATAGGATTAGGGCCTTTTTGGGGAACTCTCTATCTTCCAGCTGGTCTCTCCTTAACTCTTCAATATCCACACGGTCGGATCCAACTAAGGCGACATTCCGTCAAATTTCAAGCGGTCGAATCCGACCACACCCACCCACAGCACTTTAAACCATAGAAATTTGTATTTAGAGACTACTTAATAAAGAAAAAGTTTGGTATTATAGGCTCCATGTGAAATTTTCTATCCTCTAATGCAATAAAAGCTCAGTTAATCTATGGCATTTTTTTATAATCTACGTTCATTTCGTACGCCTGTCAGGTGTGGCGTGTTACTGTGTTAATTTTTTGGATTTTTCTAGTGTATTATTAGTGTTTAATTTAGTGTTTTATTTTAAAATTGTTATAAAAGTTTTTGTGTTATTATAGTTTATCTTTTTACGTAAATAATTTCGAATAATATATAGAAATAATTGTGATATTCACGCTGTTGCCCTGCGCTGGGTATGTACATTTTTTACTATGAAAATACAATTTAAATCTATTTGTAATGAATTAAAAGCACTAAAACAAGTAAAATAACATAATACATAAACATAAACAAGTATTATATTTAAATTTATAATTAATTTTATTAAAAATAAATTTACAACAAATTCCATGTTAGGTTATTTTTAGCGACACCACGTCACGTCACGGTTCGAACATTTTAGCTGGGGACTCAGGGGTTAACTCTTCCTACTAAAAACCCCGAACTTCTCCCGTGTTGTCATTGACTAATCCATTGCTGAACTTAATGTTCATTCTAAACATGACTCGTGTGCCACTGACCCCTATATGTACAAGTACGCTGGACTAGCTATTCCGAGTAGTGGCGGTTGAGAATATAATATTCCGTAGCCAGGAATATTATATAATAATATATATAATATTCCTAGCTACGGTGGCGACCATGGTAACGGCGGGGCAGGGGGTGCTAAGAATCTCCGGTGGAGGTTCGGTTGCCACCTACAACGACTCGACCTGGTAACATATAACGCACGCACCCTGAGGACTAACGAGAAGATACTGGAGTTGGAAGAAGAGGTAGACAATTAGTTGCGCTGGCATATTATTGGGTTATTCGAGGTCCGAAGAGAGGGGGGAGGACACGGTAATCCTCGAGTCTGGCAACTTGTTCTATCACCGGGACCATCTGTCCCAAGGAGGTGTCGGATTTATAGTCCACAAGTCTCTCATCATCAACGTTGTAAAGATTGGGAGTGTGTCGACGAGGGTCGCGTACCTAATACTCAGAATCACCAAACGGTATTCGCTGAAGGTCATACAGGTTTACACACCAACCTCGGCACATCCCGATGAGGAGGTGGAGGAAATGCATGAGGATATTTCTAGAGCCATGCATTCCTCCAAAACATACTACACGGTGTTGATGGGAGACTTCAACGCAAAACTAGGCACAAGAGAAAGCGGTGAGCTGAAGTTAGGGAAATTCGGAGTAGGGCAACGGAATCTTAGAGGCCAGCAGCTGGCCGAATTTATGGAGAAAGAGGGACTCTTTATGACGAACTATTTCTTCCAGAAGCGGCCCAACAGGAAGTGGACCTGGTCGAGCCCCGACGGTTCGACAAAAAATGAGATTGACTTCATTATGATGACCAGACGCCAACTGTTCAATGATGTCTCAGTGATCGCAAGGGTGAAAACTGGCAGCGATCACCGGATGGTCAGAGGCACACTGAACCTAAATATTAAGTTGGAGAGGTCTCGTCTAATGAAGTCAACGCTCCGTCCCCCTCGTGCTCTAATCCAGAATCCCGAAACCTTTCAGCTTGAGTTACGTAACCGCTTTCAGTGCTTAGAAGATTGCAATGAAGTGGACGATATGAATGACAAGCTCTAGCACTACTCCGGAGGCGTGGAGCAGAAGTGCCGTGGTCTTGATCTTTAAGAAAGGCGACAACGCTCACTTGAAGAA